GAGTCACCAGGAAAGAGAGTGAGGAGAGGAGGGGGAGGGGCCCGCCTCGGCGCAGCCAGCTGCGGAGACCGAGGGGGAGGGGCCCGCGGCCGAGGGTCTCTAACCAGCCCTGCTCCGCGGCGTTCACATGGCCCCCACCCAGAGTCTCGTTATCATTGTTATTACTCGCGTGTCTATTAGGCCATTTGCTCCCAGAATGCGATCCAAGCGTCCCTGGAGGGAGCCAAGACCCTCTGGAGGGTCCACACGCCTCTCAACTATTTTGCTAAGAGCACAAAGGTGTCATTTGCCCTTTCCTTCCCAGCTTTTTGCAGAATGACGTATTGCACGTGCTTGAATTAGGAGCCCAGATGAGAATCCAGCCGTCCCCTGTGACGGAGGACATCAAGAGAGTCGGAAAAATGTCCCACGTGCCGCCTCCCCCACTGATCTTTGTGTAGAAATACAACCATGTCACACGGTGTTGTCTCCTAGGTCAGCGTTCAGCTTAGCTGGTGCTCTGGGTTCCTGGATGCCAGCCGTGTGGGAGACGTCCTCCAGGGGTGCTGAGGGTTTCCAGGGGAGTCCTGAGGCGAAGCCCTGCGGTGACAACTACCTGGGGCTGTTCGTGACCGTGTTTCTCTGGGTTGCAGGACACAGACGTTCAAGGTGTCTCCCCACGCGGTACCAGGTCGCTGCGCTGGTCCACAGCTGTCTCACTGCCCCTCTGTCCCCTGGGAAGTGCCAGTGAATGTCTCACTCCTGTCCACTGGCAGCCTGCCTCCAGGGTGAGGCCAGGGAAGGGACTTCTGTGGGACGGGAGCGTGGGCTCCCGTCTCAGAACCCTGGGTCTCCCCTAGCACAGGGTGAGTGTCGGTTCTCAGCGGAGAGGCTGCTGTTTACCAAGGCTGGCTCCCGCGCTCCCGCTCGGCGTGTGGAGGACCACGGGCTCAACGTGGCCCCTGGGAGCCTCATCTCCTCACCTGTAGATGGGGACTGAGGCAGTAAGAACACACGGGAGCAATCCGGTGCGCAGCGGCTATACGGTTTTGCATTTCTATAATAAATATAATTTATGGATACAAGAAAGATCAGTAAGAACAGAAAGCCATGTTTTGGGGGGTGAAATTTTCTTCACTCAGTACGTGCCTGATTGTTGAACAAGCCCCTTTACGTGTCAGAGTAGGTGACAGTTCTCTTGTCCCCCTGGAGGGTAACTGTTGCTTCTTTCCTTGTGCCGGGGGGCTCCGGAGAGCAGAGCGTGCAGCCTCTCCCAATCCTGCATCACCAGAGCCCTGGGGAGCCCGGATCCAAGGTCTGCCCAGCCCCGCCAGGGCGAAGGCCCGGGTGCAGGAGCACACACGTCCCGGCCGCGGGTTTTAACAGTGTCCAGGGCACCTCTGAACGTAGCCCTTGCTGCTTATTTTAAAACGGACATGTTTTTCTTCTTCTCTCTCCCTCTCCCTCCCTAGCCCAGGGTCAAGAACAAGAGCACCTTGGGTGACCTATCTGATCCCCACAGGAAGGAGATGTCCCTGGGAGCGTAGGAAGCGACTGTCTCCCAAAATAACAAGTGAATTTCAACGTACCTTCAGGCGGGTGCACCTGGGACCCCGCGCGGCACACCTGCAGTGCAGCCTTTCCACAGCTTCTTTAGAAGCCCCCTGTCCCCTGAGGGGCAGAGTCACAGTCTCTGGGACAGGTCCTCCCTGTGTTCTCCTTTTTCTAGTAAACAATAAACCTCTTTCCTTTTCCTCAAAACCCTGTGTTCCTACTGAATTCCCCTCGGGAACAAGGACCCAGCTTTCAGCGACAAGGTGAGGAAGCAGCTGAGGCGACCTCGCGGCCTATTGAGGGAGGGAAGGGCGTGAGGGGCACGCCATCCAGGAGGACGCCGTGGCGCCCCAGCAGCCGGGAGCAGGGCCGTCCACTCCCGCAGTGCGGACAGGGAACCGGCAGGCGCGATGCAGGCGTGGTCCCTGCAGCCCCCGGCTTCTGAAGGCACGGAGCACCTTCACGTCCACATTCCTATGTCCCCAACAGCGCCGAGCGGGGCCACCCTGAAGCGTGTGGGTATGGAACAACCGGGTCTCCTGGAGCCCCTGGAAAGCCGGCTCCGGTGAAGGAGGGACAGGAGGAGAAGAGTGACACAGGGAGAGGAGGGTGACGGCGGGGAGGACAGACAGACAGCCTGAGAGCGGGCGTCCCTCCAGCAGAGACTCTGGGCGTCTGGGGGGCAGCCCTGGGCTGCTCCCTGCAGGAGCCCCCCTGGGGACCTCCCTGTGCGGCTGGTCCAGCGCCCCCCCATCTTCTTCGCTGTCCGCTTCCTGTCTCCAGGGCTCTGCTCAGCGGTCCCTCGTGGGAGTCCTCCCTGGTGGCCTCCCCGCGGCCTGGAGGAGCCGTCTGTCCATTAGATTAAAGTCCTTGGGCAGCGGGACAAGCCTGGCCACAGGGCTGGGTTCCCTGAGGTCGGCCTGTCCGAGGAACAGCGCGGGCCTCTCCCCGAGGACACCGCAGAGCCAGCCTCCTCCTGCTGCTGCTTTTGTCACTGAAACAGCAATCAAGGGACACTGGGGGGGAGAGCTGGCGCTGTGGGGTGGACAGCGGGAGTGTGGAGCCGGCCTGTGGGCAGCGCCCGTGGAATCCGGGAAGTAACAGCGTGGGGGCGGCTGTGGGGGGTGGCTTGAGTGGGGCAGACAGGCGGCAGAGTCCTGGAAGCAGACTCTGGAAGGGACTTCAAGTGTGGCCCAGGAGCCACACTCATCAAGGACGTGATGGGAGGGTGGTCCCCAGGGAGGACCCAGGAGGAGACCCTGGGAGCAGGAGGTAATGGTGGAGGCCAGCCGCCCCATCTGAGGAGGAGGCAGACGGGAGTGGAGGGAAGTGTCTGCTGCAGGCAGCTTTGGAGGGAGTGCTAGACCACAGGTGTCGGTCCCCAACCAGGGCTTCTCCTCCTGGTCCCGTGGAACTCCTGGGCCTTTGCCGTGGAGGAGGGAGGAGGCTGTTCCTGCGCCCTAGGGTAAAGGAGGCTGTCCTCCGCTGAGCATAGGAGGCTGAGCAGCATCCTTGAATTTCCCATCTCCTCCCCTCCCACCAGCTGTGACAACCAAAAAAGTCCCCAGATATTGCCAGACACCCTCTGGGGCAACACTGTCCCTGCTGGAATGTCCACCTGGGGTGTCAGCTGGTTTTGGTGGGCACGGTCAAGAAGCAGGGAGTCCGTGGGCTCAGGAAGCCAGGAGACCCCCTTGCCTTCCGCAGCTCTGATGCTTGGGATTCTGCTGACCCACAGGACGTCTGACCAGGGACTCCAGTCCTCTGAGTGTGCCCTCTGTGTGCAGACCAGTAGGTCAGAGATCACCCACACGCGGCCTCCGCTGGACTCCCACACTCTGGACCCTCACGCACCTGCCTCCCGTCCTGGGTGGGGGCCAGACACCCTGAGAGACCACTGTGCCCAGGACCCATGAAACTCTTCACACCGGCTGCTCCTGCTCCTGCCAACTGCTCGCCAATGACCGGGGGCCCCTAGTGGAGCTCTTCCCACGAGGGCCCTCCCCGACCGGCCAGGAACCCCTCTCCCAAGGCAGGCTCCTGCACCACATTGTGTCCGAGGCACACTTTTCCCCGACGTGTGTCTCCTGCGATTCCTGGAAGTGGTTCTTAGGATTATGAATCCATTTGGTGAGGGCCCAGAGACACCAGACACATCTCTGCATCCGGCGCGTGGTGTGGAACTGGGGAGAGGACCAGGTCACCTCCCCTGTCCCCATCAGCCTTGTAGGACTGTGCCCCAACCCAAGGCAGAAGGACAGCCTTCCTGCAGTCCCTTCTCCAGACAAGCCCAGGACAGCTCCCGGGGGGTTCGGAGTCAGGAGGGGGCTGGTGATGCCGCGGTGGGCTCAGGGCCGGCGGCCTGGGGACCCGCCGGAGCCCAGCGCTCCCCTCGTAAACCACAGTCACCTAGGACCCCGCTCGGCTGCCGGGGAAACCCAGCCCGGACTCCCTGGCAAGCTCTGTCCACGCCGGGGCTGAGGAACTCCCCCAATCCCTACGGCCCACGACGGCCACGCGGTGCTCGGCAAAACACTTGTTTTTAAACCCGGGCCCGCGAACAAGTGTCCGTCGCCGCAGTGCGGCTGCGGCGACCCGGTCTCGTTCCTAGTGCGCGGCGCGAGATGGCGCTGTTGCCTAGCGGGAGAGGAACCAGGCCCCGCTGACATTCCTCAGCTTTCCGTTTTCTTTTTAATTTCAAACGTTAATATATTTTCTATTTTACATTGAACATATGCCTCAGCAAGCCCCTCTTTTGCAGAAACGATAACACCCAGGGGCAAAATCTGTAAGATGTCGCTTGAAATATTCTTTGTTATAAAATAATAAAACTTCAAATAAATAGTCTTCACACCAAACAGCATGTTGAAAAATTAGAAAATAAATGTTTAATTTTACTACAACTACGATATACATGAAGTCGAAGGGGGAAATCAGAGTTTTCCAATAAAGGCTTCCTGTAAGGCAAAATACAATCTAAAGACATACTGATTGATTCACATTCTTCCGAATGTACAACATATTAGTATAATATTTTGTGATTACCATGGAGTATGGCACAACTTGTTTTTCACAGTTGCGAATATCATTGTATATTCAAAAATATAGCACATTATCTCTGGGGAACACAATGGCAAGAAGATCATTGGCTAATTTACAAATTTTGCAAGGACTATTCACAAACAAGAACTGCCTAGGAGTGTCTGTTGCTTAAGCTTATGCAATATGTGGGACACCAAGTTCCGTATCCCTTAACTTTGAGCTCCATTAGCTGAGTTCTAACAAGCATATCAGTTAAAATAGCACACAGACAAAAAGCATCTCACTGTAAGCAGCAAAGACTATCCCAACCCTCTACGAACAGTGTCAAGATCACAACTGTCTAGTTGGTTGCATATGTGTTTAAGAAAAAAAAGAGAACAACCCTTAATACTGATATTCCTGATTAACAATGCTATGTTGGTGTTTCAAAGTGCCTCAGGGGCAACAGTGGGAACTTTGTAGCAGACTGTGTTTGAGTTTTCACACCGGCACCCAGGCCTGGTAACCCAATCATAACACCCCTGGCACAATTTAAGGCAACCCATGGCTGGAGGGTAACACCATAAGCAAGGCAAAAAGACGGACATGAGACCCATGGCCGACCAACGCGCACAGTAGTGAGAGGGGCTGCAGGAGCACGGGTTGTCAGAGCAGTCGTCCTCCTCATCGTCAGAACAGTGGTAGAAGACAGCTTGCACACAGCACACGCAGGTCCCATAGTCAATCACGTTCTGGGCCGAGCAAAGGCACCGCTTGTTGCAGATCCAGTTGGATGGCAGGGGCCTGGGACGGGTGCACTCCTTACACTTGCACTGGCCGCAGTCCTCACACCTGTAGGCGTGCAGGCCCAAATCTTCCACGCTCAGTGGCTTGCGATCACCTGGCTTGAGCTCAGATTTGGGCTGCACCAGGATGATCCCATCAGCAAGTGGACCAGAGGAGAAGGACGGTCCTAACCGCCTCCGTTCCGAGGAGCTGCTGCTGGTACTTGTCCTGAGGATGCTCTGAGACCCTGAGCTGACGGTGCTGATGGACCTGGGCAGAGGGGCTCGAGTAGACACACGAACCTGCGAGAGCTGGAGCCTGGGAGGCGGGCGGTGCTCCGGCAGACCGCGGAGTCTCTCCGGCTGGTGCTGAGTGGAGGGGCGAGGAGCGGGCTGCAGTCCGGGTCTGGGGCCCGCAGTCGGTGCCTCGGTGTACTCATTGGTGTTTCCGATGGTTCTGATTTGATCCAGAGACAAAACCTGTACCTGCTGGGACAGGGCTTCTCCAGGGCCGGGCTCCCCACGCTGCCTGCCACTGTCACAGTGCGCCGGCAGCAAAGGCTGAGACCCGCGGCCACTCTGTGCTCTGGCCTCCATGGTGTCTGGGAAGTGTGGTCACTCCAGCAGGCTTAGAGCGCATCTGAACTCGGTGATCACGGCTTCGCACCAACCCCTCTCCCCCGGTGTTTCTTTCAGCGATGTGCAAATAAATCCAGTCCCGACGCAAACTTTTTCCCTTCTTTCCAAACTCTGCCTCAGTCCAACTTCCCAGCAATCGCGGAGAAAAATCGAGAGACAAATTCGGAGCCAAGTCCCCCGCCGATGAACACCCCGGGGTTCGGGGCTGCCCCTTCCAGAAGCGCACGCGGAGTATTTCCTCTTTTTCTCAATGAACAAGAGGCCGAAGCGCCAACGGCGAATCCCTTTTCCTGTCAGATTAGCCAATGAGAAAAGAAACGGCCTCACAGAGAATTTAAAGCCAGATCGCCAAGTCGCGCGGCCCCGCGTGCGTCTGAGCAGAGGCGGCGCGGGGGCGCGGAGCCGGGTCGGGAGGGCGCGGGGGCCTGAGCGCTGCGCGCTCCACCGGCCCCTCTCTTACGCGCGCGCGCTGCGGCGCGCACCTCCAGCTCTCCGTTTTAATTGCGATGAAATACACACAACATACATTTACCATGTTAAGGAATGTTTACTGGTATTAATTGTTATACAGACTCTTGCAAATTCTGCATTTTAATAGTTAAGTCAGGGCGTGTTAGACAGCATTTTATGTTTTATCCATTGTAAGTGCACTGTTCGTTGGCATTAACTGCTTTCACGTGGATTTGAGATCACCATCGCCTTCCATCCTCAGAACCGTTTCACACGAGAGAGCCCACAGTCTGGACCCACCAGCCTCAGCACCCCATTTCCCCTTCCTGGCCCCGGGAAACCACCACCCCAGGTGTGTGGGTCTGTGCCTTGGGCCAGTAAAACTACACGGCCTCTGCGAGTGCTTGATTTCACCTGCTCAGGGGTGTCCAGGTCGTGGGAGGTGGCAGACCTGCTTCCCCACCGGGGAGTCCTTTCCACCGTGGGTCAATGCCACATTTTGGTTGTTCTTGATGGACACTGCAATGTCCCCCCCCTTTGCCTGCTGGGAACAGGAGAGTCCACACATGTCTTTGCTGTGTGTTTCTAGTTCTTGGGGTGTGCATGGAGCTGCTGGGTCACGTGTTCCACTCTCTCAGCCTCGTGGGGGTGCTGCCAGGCACGGCCCCAACTGGCTGCATCAAATTGCCTCCCCATTTCACCCTGCACAAGTGCTGCTGGTCCTCCTCCCTCATACCAGACCTTGCCTTTCCCATGGACAGAGACCATGCTAATGTGCATTGGTGACTTCTGTTTCTTTTTAAAAGGAAAACATTTCATTGTTCAGTGCTGATGGTGACTGAACAACAGCTTTGTGTGCACACAGGTGCTACTGCCCTTCTCAAACCTTGGCCTCAGGAGGGACAGGCCACCCCTCTTTGGTCTCCCATGTTCACCTTCATGCCTGCTGGCTTTTCTTCACAGCAGCCACTGACAACCCGCTTCACAAAGACAGGCAAAGTGCATGTGGAGAGATCTGAAGTGGAACTGGAACCACAGGAGCTGGTGGTCCCTGTGCCAGCCGTGGAGCGTGGCTGGGCTCCCACTCTTGGTGTGCAGGTACCTTGCAGGCAGCTGCAGCTGTGGGGTGAACAGTGGGTGCAGCAGGTCCTCACTGGAGGGGGGATGCAGGAGCTGGTCTGGTTGCCAGGCAACGCTCAGAGTCCCTGGAGATGAGTCACCAGGAAAGAGAGTGAGGAGAGGAGTGGGGGAGGGGCTCGCCTCAGCCCAGCCAGCTGCGGAGACAGAAGGGGGAAGTGCCTGCGGCTGAGGTTCTTTCTTTCTTTTTTGGTAGCAAGGATTGAACCCAGGGGCATTTTACCACTAAGCCACCTCCCCAGGCTGGTACTACTATTACTACTACTATTAGCATTACTATTTTCATATTGAAGGTCTCACTGAGCTGCTTGGGGCCTTGCTAACTTACTGAGGCTGGCGTAGAACTGGTATCCTTGGCCTCCTGAGCCTCTGGAATTACAGGCGGGTACCACCGGGCCTGGCCCTGAGATGGCATTCAGATGGCCAGCACTCAGAATTTCACGTGTATTATTTATGCTTCCTAGGCCCATCATTTCCAAAATTCAGTTCAATGATCCCTGGGGGGAAAGCAGGATCTTTCAGCAAATCCACAGGTTCCTAAGAGCATTAAGGTCTTGTGTTTTTACTTTCCAGTATCTCTGTGTGTGATGTTGTGAAGGTTTGAATTAAGTCACAGAAAAGCAAATCCATTGCTTCTACTGGAGAAAAAATTCAGGAATCTGCACAGTGTAAACCAACGCCACTTTTACTATTCATTTTTTGTCTGTAAATCATAACTGTTATCCATAAAAGGGTGCTATACATCCGAGTTTGTTATGGTTTTAAGTTACAAATCAAAAACTTTTCTTCATGTCAATTTATAATGTGGTAATATTATGCATATAAACCCTTTGAACAGAATCTATTGGGGTATCCATTTAGTTTTTAAAAGTAGAAAGGATTCTGAGATGTGAAAATGTAAGCCTCACAGCCTTCGGGGCTGGGGCAGAGCACTTGCCTAGCACGTGTGAGGCACTGGGTTCGATCCTTAGCACCACAAAACAAATAAAATAAAGGCATTCTGTCCAGGTACAGCTACAAAAAAAAAAAATTAAAAAAAAAAAAAAGAATCACAGACTTCGTATGAATCCTAGATTTAGTGGTAACGGACCTTGTGGCATTCAGTAAATATAGCTCTTTTGTTCGTGTGTGTAACGTGCTGTTCGGCTGGAACTCCAGCTGGGTGGTAGGTGTGGATCTTCCTGTGGGGCCATCCGCGAAGTGGCAAGATTTGGCTCTTCAAAGACAGCGAGAGCAGCGCGCTCCTGGGCGGCCCGCGGGTGTCCTCCCGGGAGTCCTGTCCTGAGCCCTGGCTGGTCCCTTAGCACGTCCCCCACGCAGCAGCCGCCCGCCACTCTCGCGCGTTGATTTGAGGACTGATGGACCCAGAGGGTCAGGCCGTTCACTCCCTGATTCCTCCGCATGTTGATTGGCGGCTGGGTCTTTCCTTACTCTATAATCGTCCTTAGCTCCTGAGTCTATTTGGGGATAGATTTGTCCTTTGTTTCTTCGGTTGATTCCTTTATTAACTCGGCACACACCTTGGAGCATCTGTGAGCTGGCTGCAGGCTGAGTCCCAGATGCGGGGTCGCGCGGTGAGCAGGGTGAGCAGGGACGACCGTGCCAAGTTTGGCTCTCCTGCGTGTCCACGTTCAGATGCCCTCAGAGCTGGCGGGCAGCGTGGACCCGGTCTCTGTAGGTGAGGGGGCTCTCTCCAGCTTGCAGTCTCTGGAGCACCCAGGAAACGTGCCGCCTGTCGCTCACGTCTTCCTGGAGCCTTGGGATTTCACTCCTGCCTCTGCCAAGGTCCACTCATCTGGCCTCCGTGTTGAGTTCGCGAGTCAAGGTCGAGCAGAAGTCTTCTGTTTTTCCTTCTTTCCAAGGAAATGTGGACAGCAGAGGGCTTCATCAGTCACTCATATTCGAGGTGAATTAATTTCTAAATTCATACACATACACTATTTTGGGGTGTACTGTTATGTGAGTTTTAACTCGTGTAGAGACCTCTGTGTAAGCCCTCGCCTCCAGCTCCCCGCACGGGGAGGGTGCTGTGTAGACCTCGGGAGCCACTTGAGCCCGCCTTGGAGTCCTAGCTCTTAGTGCCTGTGCAAACCTGGGAGCCCGCTGGCGATCCCCCGTTTGCGGGGGAATAAGTACATACTCTTGCGAAGGGACATGGGAGAGTACAGGACCATGTTCAGGGGTGCTAAGCAGGAAGCCTGGAGCTTCCTGGGTGCCAAAGAGAGGCAGCTGTGTTCTTGGTTACCCACAATGTTGGATGGATTTTGTTCAGTCATTTCAGAGCAATGGAAGACCTTGCAAAGCTCAAAACTCAAATAAAACCCACTAGTCTGGGGCAGAGGTAGCCCCTGTCAGTAGTCATAAACGCAGCATCGCTTTGCTTTGCAGGCGCCCAGGGCGCACAGGGCGCACACGGCCAGGTTCGGAGGCTTCTCTCTGCGCAGCACTCAGCTCCCAGGTCGGCACCAGTCTTGGCTGATTCTGAGGTCATGTTCCATTCGGAGCCTTGAGCTGTGTGCATGGCGCATGCCATATACCCCTGATTTGTGCATGTTTACTTTGTTTTCCTTTTCTTACTACAATGAATTATCCTTGTAAACATTATTGTACATAGCTCTTTGCACAATTGTGAGATTATTTCTTTAGAATGACTATCAAGAAGTAAAACTCCTCATAAAATGAGCTTAGATATTTTAAATGACATTAAGAGTGGAGATGAAATACAAAATGAACGCACAAGCCCCATCCCTCATTTGTTTGCCCATGAATCCCACAGATGCTTGCTGTGTGTTCCCAGAAGGATTTTTTTTGTATGTTTGTTTTATTGGTGCCTCATAGTTGTGCAGTGGATGGGGTTTGCTGTTACACATTTGAACATACACACAATGTAACAACACGATCTGGCCAATACCAGCACTTCTCACCTCCTTCCCCACCTCCCTCCCCCTTCCCTTTTCTCTTCTGCTCTCTGAGTTATAGGAGGTGCACCCCCACTTCACTTCCCTTTTCCCTCTCTAGCTTCCACATATGAGAGAACACATTCACCCTGGACCTTCTGAGTTTGACTTATTTTGCTTAACATGATGGTCTCAAGTTTCCTCTATTTTCCTGCAAATGCCATGATTTCGTTCTTATTTATGGCTGAATAAAGCCATATTTTCCTTGTGTATACACCATATTTTCTTTATCCTTTCACCTGTTGATGGACATTTAGGCAGGTTCCATATTTTGGCTACTGTGATTGGTGCTGCTATGAACATGGTCTAGTTTCACTCTTCTACGATGGATAACCAGTTTTCCCAGCACCGTTTGTTAAAAAAGATGTCTTTTCTCCAATGTATGTTTTTGGCACCTTTGGCAAGGATCAGATG